CCGACTTCGGCTCAGGTCATGATCTCGCGGTCTGTGAGTTCCAGCCCTGCGTCAGGCTCTGTGCTGAGAGCTCAGAGCCTGGAGCTTGCTTCAGATTCTGTGTCTCCCTCTCTCTCTGACCCTCCCCCGTTCATGCTGTCTCTCCCTGTCTCAAAAATAAATAAACGTTAAAATATATATATAAAAAAAATAAATTTAAAAAAATTTTAAATGCCCTACTAAATGTGCCTATAGTTTGAGTGACTGAGAGATCTTTAAAACTACAACCCAGCAATTGCACTACTAGGTATTTATCCAAGGGATACAGGTGTGCTGTTCTGAAGGGACACACGTACCCCAATGTTTATAGCAGCACTATCGACAACAGCCAAAGTATGGAAAGAGCCCAAATGTCCATCAATGGATGAATGGATAAAGAAGATGTGGTATATATACACAATGAAGTATTACTCGACAATCAAAAAGAATGAAATCTTTGTCATTTGCAACTACGTGGATGGAACTAAAGGGTATTATGCTAAGGGAAATTAGTTAGTCAGAGAAAGACAAATATCATGATTTCACTCATATGAGGACTTTAAGAGACAAAGCAGATGAACATAAGGGAAGGGAAACAAAAATAACATAAAAACAGGAAGGGGAACAAAACGTAAGAGACTCATGGAGAACAAACAGAGGGTTACTGGAGGGGGGATGGGAGGGGGGATGGGCTAAATGGGTAAGGAGCACTAAGGAATCTACTCGTGAAATCATTGTTGCACTATATGCTAACTAATTTGGGTGTAACTTGAAAAAAATAAAATTATAAATAATTAAAAAATAAAATAAAATAAAATAATAAAAGTTGATTTTAAGTTTAAAATTGAAAGAATGATGGGTGAAAACTCAACATACATTATCACATACAGAAGTAGCTAAGACATAGTATCAAGATAAGGTAGATGGTCCTTCTCTCCTTAGTATAGATGCACCGAATGAACAGGAGGGCATAAATCACATATGTATATGTTTACATATTATCTCTTTGAGAGGTATATTTTATGTACAACCAGAGAAACACATATGGCATTTGATCAAATGCTCCTAACTCCAAACCTTTTTGAGTGACAAGAAACAATTGACTAGTCTTTATCTCTGAAGGGGAAGAAGCTTATGAGGATTATGACAAGTTCATTCATTTCTTGTAAGTCATCTATTCCACAATGTTAATTGTTACTCGGTTCAGGAAAACAGAATAAGAAACTCATGGCTCACAGTTCTCTTAAATACTCAAATATTTCAAAATAAGTATTTAAAATAGAACAGGAAATACATTTTCTGTCTGGTTAACACCCAAAGTATAGGGAGAAAGTATTTTAGGAAATTTGATTAGTAATACAAAATGAAACCAAAAGAGGGAAAATGAGAGTTAGAAAAAGAAATAGAAAAATCCCTTATCTGAGATGGTCAGTTTTCACTGGGATGGATAAAATATTTTCTCAGAGCAATTTCAATTAAAGAGGTTTTTTAATTTGTTTTGAACTGATAATATATGTATGAGATAATAAATTCAAACAGAATAAGAATCTACCTAGATAGAAAATAGTCTTCCTGGGGCGCCTGGGTGGCGCAGTCGGTTAAGCGTCCGACTTCAGCCAGGTCACGATCTCGCGGTCCGTGAGTTCGAGCCCCGCGTCGGGCTCTGGGCTGATGGCTCAGAGCCTGGAGCCTGTTTCCGATTCTGTGTCTCCCTCTCTCTCTGCCCCTCCCCCGTTCATGCTCTGTCTCTCTCTGTCCCAAAAATAAATAAACGTTGAAAAAAAAAATTAAAAAAAAAAAAAAAAAAAGAAAATAGTCTTCCTCTCACCCCTACCTCCAGACCTCCAGTTCTACATCTGGAAGGCAACCACTTCAACCACTTTCTTGATATCTTATACAACCTTCTCAAGCTGACCTATGCAAATACAATTACATACATGCCCCTCCTATTTTATTCAAATGAAAGTATACTATCCATACTGTTTTCTCCTTGCTCTTATCCCCACTGAAAAAATATGTCTTAGATGACTTAAAATGTATTTATTTCTTTATTTTGCCACGTACTATTGTAACTTACTTTTTACTGAAAGTATCTTGCATTCATGATGGATGCTTTCTGAGTTTTGGCAAACATTTTAATTTTAAACATTAAATTATTTTTTACATGCAAATAATGTGAAGTTTCCCCCACATGGGATCACTGATGATGACCTAAAACTTAAGGTATCAGTGGGAACTCTCTAATTCCTTGAATAAATACATATATTCATATATGTACATAAGGGAGAAAGACATACATGTTATGTCTAATGATAATAAATAAGGGAGAAGGGAAAGTTCTAGCTTATAGTAGAAGACCAACTTCTGATTAGTACATGTTCAGGGAGTGTAGCTGGGAAATCATTATTTTGCAATCAATTTAATAAATATTGTTCTAGGCAAGAATTATCAATAGATATTAAATATTAAGTAGATATTAGATATTAAATATAGAGAAGAATCTTTTGAGGAGCAGGATATTTGTATGGTCTTAGAGTGTTTCTCCAAAGATCTGTATTAGTTGCAATGGGAACATAATACATTTGAGAAATTGGACAACACCTTGACTAAGGGGTCAAAATAATGTTACTGATGAGGGGGTAGATGAACACTGTGTGTCTCCACATGTGATGCCATGAGAAGGACATAACATCACTTAAGTAGTATTTGAGCTAGGAATGCATAACCTGGATCAAATCCTGAGAGATCATCACATGAGCCTCAAATGAGGTAAGTTTATTTTTTAAGGGATTATATTCTCTAAGAATGCTAATGTCACAAAAGACAAAGAAAGATTGTGGAAATGTTTCAGATAAAAGGAAACTGAAGAGACATGACAACTATATACACTGATTCTAAACTAGATCCTGTATATAAAAATTCAAATATACATATCACATACATGTATAATACATACATTTACATACCTTTATATGTAAATGTATCTCTATATATTACAAATAGAGATAAATATACATATTTCTATATTAAAGAGAGAAAAAGAGAGATGTATATATCTATAGACATATATAATAATATAGAGACAGAAGCAAGTAGTAAATAAATAATAAAGCAAATGGGGATTAAATGTTGAAATAAGTGAATGAATCTGGGTAAAGGGCATAATATGTCCTTTGTACTAATCTTATTTTTTTCAAATGTTTATTTTATTTATTTTCCAGAGAGAGAGAGAGAGAGAGCACACAAGCAGGAGAGGGGCAGAGAGAGAGGGAGAGAATCCCAAGCAGGCTCCGTCCTGTCAGTGCAGAGCTCAAGGCAGGGCTTGAACCCACGAACCATGAGATCAAAACCTGAGTCTCAAACAAGAGTTGTATGCTTAACTGACTGAGACACCCAGACACCCCAATCTTACTTTTGAAATTTTTCTGAGATTGAAATTATTCGAACTAAACAAAATATAAAACCAAAACTATGTATTAGAAACTTCTCTGTCACTGTATATTCATCTTACCTATTTTCCCCTTTTTTTGTTTTTCCTTTTTTGATTGAGATATAATTTACATCAATAAAATACACAGATTTTTAAGGGCATAAGTCAATTAGCTCTGACAAGTGCTAATTACACACATGTAATACATGTGTGTAATACATTACATGTATTACACACATGTAATACCATCCAATCAAGATATACATTTCCCTAGAAAGTTCCCTTGTGTCTCCTTCCAATCAATTTTCACTACCCTTCACCCCTAACAGCAGCCACCACTGTGATTTTCTAACACTATAGCTTAGGTTTGCCTCTTGTTAAACTTTGTATAAAAAGAATCACAGAACATACACCCTTTAGTGTCTAATTTCTTTCTTTCAAGAGAATATTTTGGAGATGTAGCCATGCTGTTATAAATATCAATACTTTATTCTTTTTATTGCTTAATGTCATTCCGTTATGTGACTATGCCACAATTTCTTTATCCATTCACCAGCTGATGGACATTCTTGTACATGTCTCTTTGTGGACATGTGTTTTCACTTTTCTTGGTTGGGTCATAGGTTAGGTATATGTTAGTTGCCACCTGTTTTCACCACGGTTATATCATGACTTATCACTTTTGATGGCTACAAAGTATTTAATTGATTGTGTAGACCATTATTTATTTAACCACTCCCCTGTTGTTGGTCATTATGGTGTTTCCAAGCATTTATCATTACAAACAATTTGGCAATGAATATCATTGTATATGCAGATTTATGCACATGTGTGAGAATATCTATAGAATAACTTTCATAGGAAGGTCAAAGAGTGTGTACACTTTAATTTTTGATAAATGCAGCCAATTAGTCCTTCATATCGATCATTACCAACTTTATTCCAATCAGCAAAGTATGAAAGTGGCTGTTTCCCCCATATCTCAGCCAAAATTACAGGTAAAATTTTTAACCTTGCCATTTTAATTTGCTTTCCTTTGATGAGTATCACATGTTGGTTTTATTTTTATTCTATAGTTAACTACATTTGTGTCACTCCATGTATTAGATCCTTATTTTCTTTTACCCATACCCTTACAATATCCCTCCCGCTGTCCACTTTCTACAGTCTTGAGCACCATCTTCAGATTATATAACTCCAATACCACATTACCCAAGTCACTCCCCAACTGAAAAACCTTCACTGATCCCCAACGCCTACTGAATGAAATCCAGACCTTTTATCCTTACATTGAAAACCTATTCCATGTTTTCTATTTTTTTCCTTCCAAACACTTATCCTATATATATTCCAACAAAAATGGGGCTTCCCCAGGGACCTCACATAAAGTGTGTAATTCCTGCCTCCATGTCCTTACACACGCTGTTCCCTCTGCCCAGAATGCCCTCCTCTCTCTGCCTGTGGAGTCCTACCTTCCTTAGAAACTCAGCCCAAATGCCATCTTCTCCACAGGCCCTGACCAAAAGCAGACAAGATGAAAAGTAATGCTTACCGGCACTTTCATTTTAAATTCATCTCGATAATACTTAATGCCAATGTCAGTGAATGTCCTCTGGATAAAGCGAGATGGACGAAGGATGAATATAAGCTGCAAATTTCCTGGAAATGCTACCTGGAAGGATCATGGAAAGTGTCAGGGCAACTGTCACATCCATTGGTCTCCTTTTGCCCAAGATCACAGAAAGGAAAGTTGAAGTAGACACCAGAGATGCCAAAGAATTAGAATATACATAATAGAATTTCAGAGCTGAAAGAGATAATATTCGAGTAATACAAACCCCTCCTTAAAAATCATACCAAATCAAAAAACCAAAAAATTTCTGATTATAAAAGTATTTCACACTCCTTACAGAAAAAATTCAGAAAATGATGAAAGTATACATTAAGAAAAGAAAACCACCAAAATCACCCATGATCTCATAGCCATTTTTAATATTTCAATCTAATTACTTACAGGCTATTTTCTCTGCTGAAATATCTTTCTCATGGTTGAACTCATACTAGACATATTTTGTAACTTGCTTTTTTACTTAATATTATACCATGAGCTTTTATTTCTGTTATTAAAAATTCTTTGGAAACATTATTTTTCATGGGTGTGCAATTTATTTAACCAATCCCTTATTGCTAATGATTTAGGCCTTTCCATACTTTTATCATTATAAATAATACTGAAATGAACATCTTTATTCACATTTGAAACATTTTCTTAGGATAATTTCCCAAAAGAATTATTGACTCAAAGACTTAGTATTTTAGATGGCTCCTGATGCATATTATTGCCAACTTGTTTTCAGGAAGCCTTGCCTTCATCTTGAGGTAAGGTCCTAAGAAATAAGATAACTCAGATTCATATAACAATTTAATGGCACATATGAGATTCCAAGTCTCCAATTGCTCGTGGCTTCCTTTTCTTCTAGTGGTTCCCCAAAGCAACCTCCCAAGGTGTTTGTTAAAAAAATAATCTGGTCTTTACCCTGAAATATTCTGATTCACTAGAACTAGGATGAAGTTCACGTATCTATTTTCAACAAGCACCTGACAATTCTGATTAGAAGCCAGGTTTGGAGATCCCTGAACTACAGTGTCTTTTAGGCATAAAGTGATAATGTAATTCTTGAACAAATTAGGCTCAAATATTAGATTATTCAAGATTGCCAATGGATCCTGGGAAACCAGAATTCTCTTGAGGTCAGTCCTCTAAAATAGTCATGGGCACTGTCAGGTGTCTAAATCCTCAGAGTATGGACCACAAAATAAATCCTGTAGCCAAACTAAACCAAAGGAACAAAACAATCCGTGCACAAAGTGAAGGAAGTCTTCCTTTCCCCCATCTTTGAAATGCAAGCTCATAGGGGCGCCTGGGTGGCTCAGTCGGTTAAGCGGCCAACTTCGGCTCAAGTCATGATCTCACAGCCCGTGAGTTTGAGCCCCGCGTCGGGCTCTGTGCTGACAGCTCAGAGCCTGGAGCCTGTTTCCGATTCTGTGTCTCCCTCTCTCTGACCCTCCCCCGTTCATGCTCTGTCTCTCTCTGTCTCAAAAATAAATAAATGTTAAAAAAAAAAATTAAAAAAAAAAAGAAATGCTAGCTCATAAACAGAAGAAGCTTTTATTTTGTTATGTCATAATAAGACAAATGGGCTGAGACACTATTTGTGTTTCTGGCTAAGTCTCTAGATCTGAGACTCTGTAATATGTGCATGTTTGCATGTGTGACTGCCTTTGTAAGTAGGCCTAAGTGAGGTTACAAATGTTCCTCTCTCATCCCAGCCTCTACACACACATTACCACCCTATTATCTTATCCTCTTCATCCAGTCCCAACTGCCTTAGGCAACCCGTGTTTTCGTGAAAATGCTGGTCTGCCTGCTCATGTGGTTGAATTCCCTGGTCTCAGGTCCCTAAGGAGAGAAAGGATACATCTACTTGCTGAAAGGCAACACAGAGAGAGCAAAATCAGACTGATTAGATGGAAAAGGAAATTCATCCAAGGTTGTACAATTTCATACCAAAAGCAAGCACACGTCATATTTTGTCTGGTTTTTCCCATGTCTTTCAATATGTGAAAAACTAATTTGAATACTGAAATGAAGACTGGCTTACGCTGGGTGACCCCTCACCCCACAAAGCAAATCCCAAGACAAGGATCTGGGCATAGAGTTTATTGAGGAGGTGATCCCAGAAAACATAGTGAAGGAGTGGGGGAAGATGAGAACGTGATAACTAGAGAGCCAATGTATCAAGGGGGGCACTGCTGTGAGCAAGAAGGTCTGGATCCTCTGAGATACTATGTGGTATATATCTCAGAATTGTCCCACTGAGGGGGGTGCAGAAGCTGGAGTATTTATCTATCAATTCCCATAACTCAATAGTTGGTCACTCCTGGGGCATTAACTTTCCAGCACTCCAGGTGACCAGAGAGATCAATAAGGTAGATTCAGGAAGCTTTGGACATGCTCAGGAATTGTCTGCAGTGACCTGCAGGTAGGTGGCAGAGGGGACATGGATGTGACACACAGCCTCTGCTACAGAGACCTTCCCAAAATTTTGCATAAAATAATTGCCTTTTCCCTGTGACTTTGACATGAAATACTTGAACAATTTAAATTACTTTTATAATAACGTCACAAAAATGAATATTTACAGCTATTCGTGTTAATGATGCTTTTATGGAGCTCCACTTGTCCCTTCGTCGGTCAATAACAATGACGAATCCAATGCTGGCAGCCTCCACACTGCAAAAAAAAAGGGTGGTCAGTATCAGAGACCTGGTGAGACACATGGGTTCTGGGTGGCTCCCTCAGTAGTACATTCTACAGCCTCTGGCACTCCTGGCTCATGTGTAAACATACGCATTGTTCTTCCCTAACAAAGGAACCAACTTCCTCTCCTTAACTCAGTCTGGCAGCCTTAACAAAACAGAAACACTTGGCATCTCAGACTCTCTCAAGGGCTCTGTTTATGATTGGCAAGTGTCTGAAATACCCAAGGAGCATATGTGCTCATACCAGAAGGAACATGCACGTCAGTTAGGCATCACACGTCCCAGTGTATGCTGAGGACTTCAAGGTTGAGCTCTGCTGTCTTTCCAACTCCCAAAACTGACATTCATGGAGCTATCAATATGCTTCCATAGGAGTCAGTCCTAGAGGTGTTCAGAAATAATGCATGTCTGTGGGAAAAACAACCCCCTTCCAATGCCCGGTTATACACAGTCAGCAAATTATATCCACTGACAAATTATATCTTCACTAAGAACCAAAGGATGTTGTTTGGCCCCTCCTAAGTCCCCACAAAATTCTTTTAAGCTGAAGTCCCAAAAATGAAAACATGTTTCTTCTTTCTCCTTTGGAAGGAACTATGATATACAGGAAAGAGCAAAGGATTGGATTCTAGTAGCTCAAATCCTAGTGCTGCCACTTATCAGCACTGTGACATTGGGGAAATCCTCTAACCTCTCTAAAACTCAGTTTCCCTCTCTGTAAAATGGAAATAACACCATCAATAATGAAGTCATTAAAAGCATAAATTCTGAAGCCACACTGCCTAGGTTTGAAGCTTGAATTCCAGCATTTATATATTGTGTATGGGGATGGAGAGAAGAGTTACTTAGCCTCTATAGTTTCTAAAATGTCCCATTTGTAAAGTAAGAACAAAAATAGTACCTATTTGTATGGCCAATGTGAGGATTAAATGAGCATATATAACAAAAATACATAAAAGGCTCAAAATAATGCCTGGTACTTAGCATATATACATTGTATTTATACTAATATTATGATTATTTCTTATGTGTTTGTCATGGTGATGAAAAGAGATCAAGTACATGAAAAGTAGGTGGTCTCTAGTAAACCTTTAATAACTTCTTAATATTGGGTAAACAATGAGCTTTACCCTAAAAAAGTGCCTGTATGTGAATAAGGCAGATGATCTAAGCAAATACTGTAAGAAAACACAAGTTTTCTTGTGTTTTATCACAGTTCCACTATGACCCAGGTTCTCACTGGGAACATTTCCCAGGACACAGTACGAGGAGGGGTGTTCTCACTGTGTAAAAGAGGAAGAGACTGGCGATTATGAAAGCAAAAGTAGCCAGAACTTGAGGAGGGTGGCTGCGAAGAAGGAAAGTCTCAGAGAGGGAACCCCAGAAATCTTCATGGAAGTTCTCCTTTAATGCTTGGCCAACTCCGAGGCCCACTGTTTCAGGCAAGATTCCAGGAGGCTGACAGAGAACAACAACTACACATGTGAGAACTGATGAAAAGTTATAAAGTTTAAATAGCTCTGGAGAAAGATAATTGGCATTGGGCCCAACAAGAATAGACAGAATTTGATGAGCACTCTGGGCCTTCAGTTGAAACCCTAGAAAGGCCATACTCTATGAAACATCATAGGAATTGTGATTAAGGCTACACTCTAGGAGTAAGGACAAAGCAGAAATGGACTGGCCCCCAAGAAAACCTAAAACCAGACCTCAAAAAGATCAAGGCGATCTACCAGTAATTTAACTTTCTGACAAATTGAAACTCAATGCTCTCTGTAAATAGATACACCTCTACAACATATCATCTACAATATCCAGGGTAAATTAAAAAATTAACAGAAGTCCAAAAAAAACAACAACAAGAAAACAATAATTAAGAGATAAAATGGTCAAGAACTATAGACTCAAAGATATTCCTGGTTTTAGCAGACAACAACTTTAAAATAATTATGATCAATATGTTAAGAAAAATAATTATGATCCATACACATAGACAAAATGGATTAAAAGATGCATTATTTCAGCTGAGAATCAGAAACTATAATAATCAAATGAACTTCCTAAAATTACAAAACGCCAGGGGCACCTGGGTGGCTCAGTCAGTTAAGAGTCCGACTTCAGCTCAGGTCATGATCTTGTGGATCGTGGGTTCAAGCCCCACATCAGGCTCTGTGCTGACAGCTCAGAGCCTGGAGCCTGCTTCGGATTCTGTGTCTCCCCCTCTCTCTCTGCCCCTCCCCCCCTTCTCTCTCTCAAAAATAAATAAACATTAAAAAAATTACAAAACACCAATATTTGAAATTAAGAATTCATTGGATTTGTTTAACAGCAGCTTGAACACAGCACAGATAGGTGAAACTGAAAACATCACTGAAAATACTCAAACTGAAGCACAGACAGGGGGAAAAGAGGAAAGAATATAATGTAATAGAATGTAAAAGAGAAGTAGAACATGAACAGAAACAATATTTCAAAAAAATAACAATGAAGAGTTTTCCATATCTGATCAAAGGCATCAACTCACAGATTCAAGCAGCTCTTCTAATACCAAGCAAAATAAATACAAAGAAAACTTCACCAGGCATATCAGAGCCAAGTGGCTCAAAATTAAAGATAAGAAGAAACCCAGCATTTGGTGAAAAAAAATATTAACTCCAGAAGATTAATGTTAAAAATTATCACTGACTTTTCAACAAAAATTACAGAAGCTACAATCCAATGCAATGTTATCTTTAGAGGAGTAACCTGAAAAAAAACGACCCATTTAGCATCCTACACCAACTGAAAATTCATCTTATTTTTTTATTTTTTATTTGTTTGGGTTTTTTTTCATATATATAATTTATTGTCAAGTTAGCTAAAAGAGTATACAGTGTTCTCTTGGCTTTGGGAGTAGATTCCCATGATTCATCACTTACATACCATACCCAATGCTGATCCCAACAAGTGCCCTCCTCAATGCCCAGCACCCATTATCCTCTCCCCCCTCTGCCCTCCCCATCAACCCTCAGTTTGTTCTCTGCATTTAAGAATCTCTTATGGTTTGTTTCCCTCTGTTTCTAACTATTTTTTCCTTCCCTTTCCCCGTGGTCTTCTGTTAAGTTTTTCAAATTCCATATGTGAATGAGAACATATGATACCTGTATTTCTCTGACTGACTTATTTCATTCAGCATAATACCCTCCAGTTCCATCCACATTGTTGCAAATGGCAAGAGTTCATTCTTTTTCATTGCCAAGTAGTATTC